TGGGAAAAGAAAGGGCCTAGTGGTTAGGTTCATACTTTGTCCAAATAAGTCCATATTTCCTTCCCATACAGAATACCCCAGTACGAGTTATAGCTCAAGGTATGTTAAAGGTTCCAGAAAATTCAATTTAAGAAAACTTTAAAATTGAGTTCTGTATTTAGTCCGTATGGGACAAGTGCACCCAGGGTATAGATCCAGAATTTTTCTTTTTGTAGGAGGACTTTGTCAAAGTCACCTCGACGAGCTGAAATATTCAGCAAAAAAATCCCTTTCACTTTCAAGCCTTCTGTTTTACCCCCATGTACTTCTCTAAAGTGTTGTGCCAGTGGGTTCTCTTTTTCTCCCTTCCCTACGTTCCTATTTTCATTTCTGATATCTCTCAGGTGTTCACCAATCCTAGTCCTGAGGTTCCTTTTCGTTTTTCCTATGTATATCTTCTTGCATGGACATTCTATCATATATATTATTCTACTACTGGAGCAGTTAATGAAACTTCGTATCTGGAATGCCTTAGATTTATCATTATTAAAGTCACTAAAACGTTTAGAAAGGAAACAGCGGCGAATACACTTTTACATGCTAATAGTTATCATCCAAGGAGTTTAAAACAGGGAATACCTATTGGTCAGTTTCAGAGAATAAGAAGGAACTGTACAGAAGAAGCTCAATATAGAAATGAATCTATTCAGCTCTACAAGAGATTTAGAGAAAGAGGTTACTCACATAGAACCCTAAGAAGAGCAAAAAGAAGAGCTCTGGGTAGAACAAGAGAGGAGCTTATAAATAAACCAAAATCAAAGGTAGAGGCGAATTCGGTAAACCAACCAATAAGATTCATAACTAAATTTGGACAACAATGGGGTGAAGTCAAGAAGGCCCTGGACTCTCATTGGTACTTACTAACTCAAAATCCGCAGATAGCAAGAGTGGTAGGGGGGAGCCCTCAAATGGTAGCAAAAAGAGCTCGGAATTTAAATGACATACTAGTACAATCAGAGTTTCAGAGGGCACCACCACAAAGGAATTGGTTTAACTAGGAGGACAGGCCTATGTGGTATGTTCCATGCGGGCCATTGTCAAATTTGTCCATTTGTACATAAGTCCAACCAGTTCTTTAATAATGATAAATCTAAGGCATTCCAGATACGAAGTTTCATTAACTGCTCCAGTAGTAGAATAATATATATGATAGAATGTCCATGCAAGAAGATATACATAGGAAAAACGAAAAGGAACCTCAGGACTAGGATTGGTGAACACCTGAGAGATATCAGAAATGAAAATAGGAACGTAGGGAAGGGAGAAAAAGAGAACCCACTGGCACAACACTTTAGAGAAGTACATGGGGGTAAAACAGAAGGCTTGAAAGTGAAAGGGATTTTTTTGCTGAATATTTCAGCTCGTCGAGGTGACTTTGACAAAGTCCTCCTACAAAAAGAAAAATTCTGGATCTATACCCTGGGTGCACTTGTCCCATACGGACTAAATACAGAACTCAATTTTAAAGTTTTCTTAAATTGAATTTTCTGGAACCTTTAACATACCTTGAGCTATAACTCGTACTGGGGTATTCTGTATGGGAAGGAAATATGGACTTATTTGGACAAAGTATGAACCTAACCACTAGGCCCTTTCTTTTCCCACTGTAGATTAAATTTCTATAACAACTAGATTAATATTAAAATTAGGTGTTTGAACCTGGTCTTGATACCTCCCTTCTTGAATCATAATAATTATCCTTCTCCATTATCCTCTCTAAAGATGATCTGGTTTATTGCAGTATGGTCCCTCCTCTCTATTGCCAGCAGTCAATTTAAATTTAATATATGTTTTTTTAATTCACTTTGGATTTTTTGAATGTAGTGATACTTTTTCAACACAAGAGGGCGACGTGGAGACTTTTTGGTATGCAATTAGTGCACCATATAAGGCAAAGGAATGAAGTCCCCTCCCAGTTCTGACGAAGTCTGCGGTGATTGGCGGACGAAACGCGTCAACGTAATGACGTCACTACGCTCGGCGTCTTCATAGGGTGCGGCGCCCACGAGGTGGGAAGGAACGGCGGTGTCACAGCTCCTTGCTAGGAAGGCACGAGGCCCTCTGAAAACCACCATAAGGCTACTATTACAGCGGTTCGCAAACGGCAATCCCCTATGGGAATATACCTTCAACCGGTGGCAAGTTATTTTAGCTCACTGCTGTTTAGATTCATAGAGCATATATGGAGTTAAGAGGGTATGTCATATGGGCCTAATTTACCCTGCATTTTTGGGGAATTTTTTGGAAATCCTCTTCAGAGGATAATGTATATACATATATACGCTATCCTACTTAGGCATTGTATGCTGTGACAAAGCCATATCCTATTTAAACCGCTTCATCTTTCTCAGATTGAGTAATTTTTGGAAACCCTTTATTGGGTATAGACTCAGGTACTCACGGCCTGCTACATACATAATATATGTGTTTGGAATTCACGCATTGTGACTACCTGGCTTCCCACCCCCATATGCACCTTTGAACAAGCATCAAGGACCTGATCCTATTTCAAGTCGACGGGAGTCTTCTTGATCTTTATTGATGGTAATATACCTATTTTGTCTCTGCTTTCAGGGTTTTACTTGATGCCTGTGATCTATACAATAATCTTTATATATATCCCCAGAATCATTTGGTACTGTGGACTTTGTTTCACTTGGGGTGGTTACCCAGGAAGTCCCCACATTTGAGAAGCGGGTATGACAGCCTTACAACTGAGAAGGTAATGAAAGTGTCCACTGACTACTGTATAGGGAGGTTTGGTGTGGCCTAGGTGCAATTCAGCTCCCATATCTTCATATATATCTATTTTTTATTTTTTATGTTCCAGTTTCTACACACCAGGAGGCTACTCTACACATCCTGGCTCATATTGAGAACATATCTGCAGAATATATGGTTCATTCTAATACAAGTTGGAGATTTATGGAAACCTAGGATCAAACCACACCATTACCCTATATTGCCTTATATGGTACTCTACTTGCCAAAATGACCCTGAAATGAAGACGCTAAGTGCTTTTAAAAATGATTTTATCTGTTTGACATGTTCACCGTGCTCATGTTTAACCTCCTTATGATCTATGTGATCAAATTAAAATATTGTTTGTAATTTTTGAACCCATATTACTCCGCGTGGATCATTCAGTAACCTCCTTTTTCTAGGTAGGGGTGCTCTGGTCACACTACCATATTGTTTAGTATGCATTTCTTGGGTTTATGGATCCACACTTACATGTTAAGTGAGCCGGAGATATGACTATGACACTAGTCATTCGTGTCATTTCAGGTGGCCTCTTTCTGTTCTATTTTTGTGCCATTAGTTAATGGCACGCGCCCCCCGCACTGGAAAACACGACCATACTGGGAACCGAGGTTCTCGTGCGGGCTGCGTTTTCAGAAGTGCAGGTACTTCTTCCCTGTGTGTCACAGGGGAACGGGAATCCATTCAAATGAATGGGCTCTTGTGCCCACGCAAAACGCGGCCCCCACGGCCACATATATGTGAACCTGGGGTAAATGGGCATCACCATGGTGCCCTGCACTCACCTGGTACTGATGTAGAGAGCTGCACTAATGTCATCCCTTCAAGCAGAACTAAACCCCAAAGATACCCACCTCCACCTTCCAGTGATCCTTCATTATCCACTGTCATCTTAAGCCTGGCTACTCAATTTTTGGCCTCTTGATGTGCTGGCGGAGGGGGATGTGCATCCGAGCATGTGCATGGGAGTCAGTAATACCAGCACAGCAAAAGTGTTCTGGGAATGCATGCTGAGATGCTCATGTGCAGCGCAGTGTACATTCGGGGTAGAAAACTCTGAAAGGGCAAGTAAGTTTGTGTTATTGCAGAAGAGACAGCATGTCTACTCCACAATAAAAAGCCTCCTGCTTACAGTTCTTGAAGAGTTAGGTTTAGTTCTGCTTTCAGTGCTGCTCTCTGCATCAAGGACCACTCAATATGAAGAGGAAGAGGACCCCATCATATGACAGACCTGAAGACATCTATTTATTGCCTCCTTGAAGGCAGGAATTTTTTAGTGATGTGGTTTGTAGACTTAAAGTGGTTGTAAACCTCAGACATGAAATATGAACAAAGCATATCCCTCTATAGCTGGTACTTGTCTCAATTAGGAGCACTAAGTGTTATTTCTGTCTGCTGCTTCATTCCTCTACTATCTGCATGAGTCACTTCTGACAAGTTTTCCAGGCACCAAGAGAAAAAAGGTGACAGGGGAGGGACTTATAGCAGATTGACAAGCTCAGCTCTATTCCTCTGAGCTGTGTAGAGGGGGCTGTGTCTCTTCCCTCCAATCAGCTCTCAGAGTTCTCACAGAGCTCTGCAGAATGTAACTTCAGCTCTCCGCCCCCTTTTTTCTAAACTCTCAGACAAGCTTAAAATTTCATCAGTTTGATCGGATGTAGAAAAGACTGCAGATAGATAGGTGCAACATATGTAGGAGAATTTGTTTCATCTCTGTGTATTATCTGAGGCCAGTCAGTTTACTGGGTATATGTAAGGGTTTACAACCACTTTAATGGAATTTAAGTGAGTAGCTCCTGCTGGAACCAAATATTGTACCCAAATTACCCAAGAAAAGATTCTGGTGGTTCCACCAGTAATGATCAGAACATCAAAATAGTTGATTTTTCATCTGGCATCCGCAGTTGAAGCTGCGCAAATGACTAAAAGTATGCCTAAAGTGTTACAAAACCCAGGACCCTGCATTCACTATATCCGGTATCCCACAGTACACAGAACATGGAAATGCAATTATTTTAGTAAATATAAACTGCTAAATACCTTTTCTCATCAGCAGTATATAGCAGTCTTGTGACTTCTATCAGTGTCCAGCCATGCACTGGTTAAAGCTTGTAGGAGGAGTTTTCATTTTGCTCTAGGAGGATGCAGAACCCCCAACCTCTGTCTGGACAGTGCTGATTGGCCCTGTGCTAATCACATGCACTCTCCCAAGAAAGAAAAAACTCTCTATAGCAATACACACCAAACTAAGCATGTCCAGAGTGACTCCACATGATATGCCTTATCAGGAGATAAGAGGGGAACACTGGAAGAAGGGGAGGATCAGAGAAGACAGGATCAAACAGCATTTTTACACAATGGAGAGGATTAACACCTTAGGTTCCACAGTGAGTATAACAAGCATACTTTACTGAATATACAGACTGATTTTACAGTTGTGGGTTTAGTAACACTTTAACTGTCAATTTGCTCAGTCCACAATTCTAATTTGTTTTTTGGATCCAGATCCACTGACCTCTCATTTTATTTTTGTAAAAGGTAAGCTCCGTCCAAATTCAGTATTTCAGTTTGTTTAGTAAATACTGGTATGTTGAGACACTTGCTGACTTTTTAAATGTTTAACAGACTCCAATGAAGGCATTTCCTGCAGTTGTGTCTTTATCACCATCGCCATGACTAAAATAAAGATTTTAATTACTCACAGCTGAATTCGCTCATTATTTAACATTAAATGTGGATATTATTGCAGGCACATAGTGAATGTTGTGAAATGTCCACGCACTATTGACCCATAAGTAAATCCAGCCTTAAGGGTAATTTCAACTGAGCAATAACTACCATTTTTCTACCTGTACTGTGATAGTATATAATTTACATGCTTTGCCTGTAGTTAATATTTTGTTATTCTCTTGCTGCTGGAATACTCATGCATCTACACATATGATGCATGCCCCCCCAGACTATAAACCTGGCAATAATGTATAGGTGAGAAACAAAACAAAATACCTACAGGGGTTGGACAAAAAAATGAAAACACTACATGATTTGCAGGTGTGAAAGCAATGACATGTTTTGCACTGAAAGCAGAAGTAATGTAACATTCTTTTGCTTCTGCTGTGTGATGAGACACCTAGCTAACAGGTAGGAAGCCTTACTTTCATCATTCACTGCATGCGCTGCTAGTAATACGGAGTCATGTCAGAGCTTACTGAGTTTTAAAGAGGGCAAATTGTTGGTGCCTGCTTAGCTGGTGCCTCTGTAGGTACAGTATCAATGGTTATGACGGCATATACAGTTTCCTGGAAAAAGTCGTCTTATAAGTATAAGCACGGTCGACATGGTCAAGTGACCAAATGAGACAAAAGGACATTGAGCAGAATTGTAACCCAGAACAAGAAAACAACAGCTGCAAAAGTGACTGCAGAGCTCAAGTCTTCCAAACCCTGTGTCCACAAAAACTATGCAGAGGGAACTTCATAAGCATAGTATTCATGGACAAGCAGCAAATATCAAACAACTGGTTATCGATATTAAAGTTCAGAAGAGGAGGGAGTTGTGCAAAACCCATAAATTATGGAATATCAATCAATGGAAGACTGTAATATGGTCCAATGAATCGAGTTTCACACTGTTCCCAACAACCGAACATGTTTACGTTTGGCAAACATCATCCCAAGCTAAGAACAGGACTGTCTTGTGCTAACGGTAAAGCCTGGTGGCGATGCAATCATGGTTTGGACAGCCATATCTTGGTATTCTGCAGGCCCAATCATCACCTTAAAAGTTGAAGTTACTGCCAGCGACTATGTACATATTTTGTCCAACCATGTGCAACCCATGGGGCAGTAGTTGTTTTCAGAAGAAAGCACCATTTACCAAACAGATAATGATCTGATTCACATAGCTGGTGTTGTCAAATTCTGGTTTGATGAACATGCAGTCTCGTACCTCCCCTGGGTGCCGCAGTTGCCGGACCTCAATATCATAGAGCCACTATGAACAATTTTGGAGAATAAAGTTTGGGCTCATTTTCCACCTACAGCATCTCTGAGAGAACTGGGATGATTTTTGCATGAAGAGGGGTATCAGATTCCATTGTCCACCATTCAAGACTTATATTTGTCAATTTCCAGGAGAGTTCAGGCCGTATTGGATGCCAAAGGTGCTCCAACACCATATTAGGTAATGATTCAATTCTTTTACCTGGTATTTCCATAATTTAGTCCAACTCCTGTACCTATGTCCTTATGGCCTTTTATTAATTTTTACCTATTCTGTGCTGCATGGATCCCTTTTCTTGCGCTGTCATTATGAAAACTTTTCTTTATACTGCACATGTGCAAGATGAAGAGCGTGACCAGGGGCAGACTGACAACTCATGGGGCCCCCGGGCAATAAGGATAATGGGGCCCCTATGTCCTTGCCCAAACTCAAAAAAGCCTATGAAAAAGGTACCAGGGGCATCTCATGGGGCCCCCTACTGATCCCGGGCCCTCGGGCACTGCCCGAGTTTCCAAATGGTCAGCCCGCCCCTGAGCGTGACATCACCAGCATCATATCATGCATCTGCTGTAAAACTCTACATACATTGGTTGCAATAAAGAAAAACTTTTTCTCCAAGAGAGAAGTTTTTTGTTTACAAGAAAATGAATATAATATTGTATGGCGCATTCATGAAATGGGGAACATGATGTCATGCGCTTCATCTTATGCATGCGCAGTATGACAATACTGTAAGATTTCACAGTTTAGGTACAAGATTTCCCTGAAGGCAATAGTGACATTGCCTTCTTAGGGGCATCTGTGCAACCAGGGCTACATCACCAGGGAAACCAAGAAATGGAAAACAAAAAGTAAGTGTAGCCAGGTCCTCTCTACTGCAAGCTGAATCCAGAGGACATATTCTAACGGGACCACAGACTTACTAGTCTCCCTCCAGTGCTGCACTCAGACCATTAGATCACTTCCTGACTATAGAGCAGGAGAGTTCCTCTATACAGACTACAGCAGAGGATCTTGGAACTTGGAGTCCTGCGGTTAACCATCCCTGTATTTCAGAATTCTCTCCAGACAACACACCCCAGAAAACTGCCAGCAAAAATGGCTGTGGGAGAGACTATATATTAAACTGCAACTGGTGGGCTTGCTTTCTTGGGCCTGGGATCCTCTACGGAACAGTTGGACCACTGTCCTGCACACAGTGACAGAGCACTGTTGTGGCCTTGCTGGCTACAGCCATGCCTTCGGCTGCAGATCTGCATCGCTGGGCACCGCTTGGGAGGCTAAGAATCGTTCCTGTCTGAGAGCAGCATAGGGGGATTTGACACTGACTGCTGACTTCAGTACCCTGCAAGCATCCTTGGAAATATAATTCCTGGAGCCTATACCACTTGTCCTGTTCCTGCAGAGGTTGTCTTCAAACTGGAATTGGTGGGCTGGTGAATACTCAAAACTCTTCATCCTATCATTCTCTTATTTAGGGACACTGCATGCAGACAACATAATTAAGATGCTTTAAAGAAACCACTACCCCATCACTTCAGTCACACACTTTCCAGGCACTATGGATCCCTAAAGATTTACAGTGGATATAGAAAAGAATCACCCTCTTTAAAATAATCACATTTTATTGCTTTGAAGCCTGAAATGAAGACAGACACAGTTTGTTTTATCCAGCTGTATTCACATCCAAGTGAAAGATATAACACCAACATGTCAGAAAAAAATTCAAAAAATTCAAAAACAGAATCACTGAGTTGGAAAAGGGATCACCCTCTTGTGTCAATATTTTGTTGAACTGCCTTTTGCTTTAATTCCAGCCTTTAGTCTCTTGGGATATGTCTCTACTAACTTTGCACATCTATATTTTGCAATATTTTACCACTCTTCTTTGCAGAACTGCTCAAGTTCAGTTACATTTGATGGTGACTGTTTGTTGACTGCAGTCTTGAAGTCATTCCACAGATTTTCAAAAATTCTAAAATTTTGTGACATTGTTGGCACATGCATACAATGACCACTCTTTGTTATAAATTCCTGCAACTGCTTCAGAGTTGCTGTAGGCCTCTTGGTAGTCCCTTGTTTATTTCATCCAGTCTGGAGCAATGTCCTGATCCAGGGAGGGTCTGTTTTGTACCAAAAATCTTTCACTGTGCTTCTAGGCAATGATAAAGCCTTTTAAAATTTTTTGGATCCATCTCCTGACTTGTACCTGTCCACAACTTTATCCCAGAGATTTTTTGCCACCCATAGTTGATTGTTTGCTTCAGTTGCACTACTGGAGACTGAAATGCTCAAGAAAAGGTCTTTTTATGTTGAGCTAATCAAAATGACCACAGCTGATCACAGTTAAAAGTCAAATGGCTTTGTGTTCCATTGAAAAGGTGATTAGCTACACCTGATTGAGTTTACAAGTCATTTTAGGAGGGGGTGATCCTTTTTTCCAACTCAGTGATTCTGTTTTTGATTTTTTTTTTCTGACATGTTAGTGCAATTTATAACATCCAAGATATAACACCAAGTAAATACAGCTGGATAAAACAAAAACTGTGTCTGTCTTTATTTCAGGCTGCAAAGCAACTAAGTGTGATTATTTTAAAGAGGGTGATTCTTTTCTATACCCACTGTAAATCTTTAGGGATCCATAGTTCCAGGAAAGTGTGTGACTGAAGTGATTGGGTAGTGATAATTTTAAAGGGGGGTGATTCTTTTCTATACCCACTGTACATCTTGTTCATGGGCCCCTACGTGCTAGCAAAGATACCATGTTGCACCTAAATCTGAACTGTCCTTATATTATTATTGGCGGGTGGGGAACTCCATTCCTTTACTGGTGTTATAGCAGAGGACTTTCTCAGTGTTTCCGTGGTCCAGAGGGAGTTGACCTGCTACGAAGTCTCTCCCAATTGAATCAATGTTGCACTTGACCATAGTCTTCAGGTGCGGCTCCTAAGCGGGTAGCGCTACATCAGCAAAGCAAAAAAAAACAATTTTCTTTTGTAAGAAGCAGCATTAGGCAATTTTACATCTGCATGCTGAGATGTATAATGATGTGAATTAAAGTGAAAGGGGGTAAAGGTCCGCTTTCATATATATGTAGTAATTTTGAATAGCAAAAACAAAATAAAACAAAAAAGAAAACAAAAGTCCAAGCCATATAGAATTGCACATTTGTACTGCTAATGATTGACTTGTCCGCATCTTGTTTGCACAGGTAATTTCATGGTGGCTGGCCCTGAGGACTGGGAGAATTGAGGTCACTTTGCAGAGCAGACATCCACTGATGCTTATCAGAACAAGGGTTCAGTAATTTACTTGGTAGATAACTGCTAGGAATTTTTGTCATAGGTCAGGTATAAAGCTAATTGTAATTAGGACTGCATTGGAGATGGTAGTGATTAAACAGTGAATCAACATACACACAAAGGTGGAAATTGCTACAACAGATTAATAAACACATGAAACAAAACGCCAAGTAAAACAGAAAAAGAAAATCAGTAACATGCTGTAATAGGAAATGCTACGCTATTTACCTGTGTCTGTGTTTCTGGCATTATTCTAAGCCTATAGTAGACACCTAAAAAAGAAACATTTCCTGAAAGAAACCTGAAGGTTGTCATTTCTTTTTTTTTTCCATAATGTTTATTAAAGAACTCAGAGCATACAGCGGGTACAAGCATCACATGAGAGCAGAAATGCATACAGTAGATGACAAAGTATATGCAACAGATAGTGTATTACGGAACATTATCAGAACATTATAAATGATAAAAGGTAGAGGAAGGCACAACTGGTCTCAGGTCCCCAAGCAGCTTATTGGAGTCGTAACACTGGCAGAAGTATTGATCTGAAGCATTGGTTACCTTATTAAGGCCAATGAAGGGGCAGAGGTGTAGGAAAAGCATAATGACAGTATTTATGGTGATCGCAGGAAGATGCATATAGAGGCAAATAATGCGTAGCCCCTTGTGTTATGTTGTAGAGGTAACTCAAAAGTAGTTGTCAGCGTCTATGTGATAGATAAGGGGAAGAAGAGACGGCTCGGTTGGAGAACAAATAAATGAAGCGTTCCTGCAGGTAGGCAATGAATCCGAGGATAATAAAGAGGAAAAATGAAAAAGGCTCTGAGTAGGATAGGGAATAAGTAGGGAGAGAGAAGAAGAGAGAAAGAGAAAAAAAAGAAAAGGGGCAGGAAGTGGAACTAGGGAGGAAGGGGGAGAAAGGGGGACGGGGAGGCGGGGGGGGTTAATAGCAGAAAAAGGGAATAATAGGAAGGGGGGAGGGGAAGGTAGGAGGGCGAATAAGGTACCTTCACTGAAAAACTGTCAGGGGAAAATATGTGCATGTACAAAAAGGAGTTCTCAAAAGAGGCTAAAGGGTAGCGTATGCAGACATAAATCAATATGAATAACGCTCCCGACACTGAGGGGTAGCAATATCAGGGGTCCCATATACACTTGTCAGGGAACAAGGAGCTAACAGAGCCCTCAGGGTATGTCAGGGCTTGAGAAGTATTCAAAATCAGTCAGTCAGTCAGCCAGGCCCAGGAGAGACCGGTATTCAGGAGTCGTGCGGAAATGTGTCCAGCAGAACCAAGTGTGAGAAAATTTGGTAGGATTATCTAAAGATGAGGCAATCAACTCTTCCATTTCTGCAATCTTGTCAATGCGCAGGAACCAATCTCTTAGTGTGGGTGGGTGGATCTCCAAAGCACTGGCAGGCAGAGTTTAGCCGCTGTGAGCATGTGCATTGCCAGGGATTTGGAATAGATATGTTTGGAGAGCGGGGTGTGGTGGAGGAGTTGGGCTGGGGAATATTCAATGTCATTAGCAGACACTGAAGAGGTAATTCTATGCACCTCCCGCCAAAAGTGCTGAACAATGGGGCAGTCCCACCAAATATGCAAAAGGAATCCAACAGGAGCTCCACATCTCCAGCAACTACCAGACTTAGAAGGGTCAAAATGGTGGATTCTAGAAGGTGTATTGTACCAGCGGGACACCAGTTTAAAGCCATTTTCCTGGGCTGAGACATTTAGGGAGCATTTGTGAGAATATGTGAAGATTTGTTCCCAGTCTGAGGGAGAGAAATCTATATTTAGGTCTCTTTTCCACGCCTTACATGCTGGGAGTGAGTCGAAGGGCCTATTGGCAAGGAGGAGCAAATAGGTGAAAGGAGGAGCAAATAGGTGAAAGAGTCAACAGATTGACTCAAATGAGTGTGAGTGGGCGAGTCCATTTAGAACGGTATGTAGAGGAGAGCAGAAAGTGTCTGATCTGAAGGTAGGCCCAAAAAGGGAAAGACTGGTCTCCCATCAAGCTGGCCAAGGAGGAGCCAGTCTTTAGCTGACCTTTGTGGAAGAAGTGATTTGCCAAGACTTGAGTATGTGGATAATGAACTGAACGGAGGGATTTGTGCATACCTGGAGGGAAGTCCGGATTGAAA